GTGTGTGTGTGTGTGTGTGTGTGTGTGTGTGTGTGTGTGAGCGTGTGCGCGTGTGCGCGTGTGCGCGTGTGCGCGTGTGCGCGTGAGTGTGCGTGTGCGCGTGTGTGTGCGTGTGCGTGTGTGTGTGCGTGTGTGTGTATATATCAAATCATTTAGCAGTGCTAATTGTGTAATTTTTCACCTCTATGGACACACATAATCACAAACAGTTGAATACCATACTTAGCCTTGTGCAACAGTGCAATTCACAAAGCCTATTCCAAAAAAAAAATACAAATACATTATTCAGGGTCATTTGCAAAATACTAAAAACCATGCAAGACTATATTACAAAAACACAATAAACAATAACTTATTTCATGACTTTTACTTTCGTACAAAGATAGACATATTTAAATAGGTTGCTCTAAATGCTGACATCTTTGTACAGTAACAGTAGAAACCACTAGCATATTATTATTACTAAATACCAGTCCGCTGTAAAACATGGGAGCACGGAAAGGTGTCATTGGGAGAAAGCTTGCATGTTTGAACATTTATCTTACTACCAAATAGAGATCTAAGAAATGTTAGATACAACAAAAACTTAAGTTTATTTTTAGTATTATTTTTTATTATTATGTTTTTTATTATATATTTACGTTTTTTTTTAAAATTATATTTCGTAAAGTCATGGAACAAAAGTTGTTGTTTATGTGTTTTTAGTATATAGTCCTGCAAGGTTGTTAGTGTGTTATAGATAATCCTGTAAAATTGTGGAATAAGCCAGCATTTTATAAGTGGGTAATAATAGTCATCAAATTACTTCATTAAGTAGTTATAATTACAAGACAAACCTCCGGGCTTCTGTTGCACTTTGGAGAGCATCATAGCTGCCATACGACCTCGACCTCCCAGTGATGCAGCCGTTGTTGCTGAGCTCACCTAGGTAATATTATGATTGGACATTATTCTATCAATGCTGAAACACATCTAACATCTAATACTACATTTTGTTACGTGGCAACAATGCATTAGTGGTACATTTTCAAAACAATCATTTTTAGTTGATGTGGGAGTGAACAGTAAATTTTACTAATTATGAAAGCACTAATGACATTTGATGCCTTACTTTCTCAAACTTATATCTTATAAAGAGTAAATATTCAGAAGATGGTAAAACTTTATATTTATTTTAAATTTCTTATCAAGGCTGCTAATTTGGATGTATCACTATTAAAAGTAGGTAAAAGCCAGTGAGTGAATGTGAAGGAAATGTTATGTGAAATCTGCCTGCAAAATTTGTACATACATTTTTTGTATTTCATTAACTTTGTGCTTTAATATATGAGTTTGAGAAAGTAAAGCGAGAATATGGCTTCTGGAAAGAAATTTTAATACTACATTGTAATTATCAAAGGTAAATTTATGAACCTCATACCTCCATTAATGTGAAGTTTTGAGTAAGCACAAAAACAGAATTACTAGAAATAATTTTATACAACAATCTATAAATCTATAATACCTTTGTTTTGTAACTAGAATAATATTATATTTTAAGTTTTAATTGCACTTAAGTGTAAAACAAGGTATTTTGTCCAAAAACAAGTTATGACATTTTCATATTTAGCTGACGAAAGTAATAGAGCAGCAAGCAACCTGCATGAGGCAAGAGACAGCTTTGTGGTGTCACTATTCCATCTTTCCGGCTCAGTGTTGTAGCTTCAACTGGGGTATTTACTAATTATTTGACAAAGGCTATTATTGACTAAGTAGTAGATAGGCACACATACAACACTTGGAGTAGCACTCGCACTAGGAGTGGACTCCGGAGAAGCCTCATCCGATGACGGTGAAGAATCCATGTTCTGACTCTTCTTTAGGGCCTGAAGCAAGGCCAGGCCCCTGCCTCGACCCTTTCCCGGATCCATGTCTACCTCCTAAAAACAACATAATGATAGCGTAAAAAACATTGTTTACGGTTTGTTTTCGATCTACCGACATATTACAAAATGGGTTCTTAAGAATTTACTTAAAAACTATATAATTTTATTCATTTGTAAAAGATATATAGTAGGAAACAACAGGTATAACTGGAAATGGGCCAATATCGCTCTTTTTAAGTTACATTTTCAAATTAAAAAGAAAGTCATTTTTATGTTCTAACAGCACATGACGAAACAATAACTGGCTTATACGTGTACTAAAGTATAATATACATTGTTAATAATATTTCAACAACATTACCTAAAAGATTTGCCTCAGTTGACTTATTATATCGTGCTAAATAGCACAAACTACTAATACAATCTCTCTTGCGAACCAAAAAGTCCAAAAACCTCCAAACAAGCAAATGTTTTCTTTTTTTTTCTTTTTTTTTTTTATTTATTATGGCTTTGGCAAAGCCATCAGCCTAAACATGAAGTTTAATTATCTTTCTGTAAATATGGCCGCCACAACGAGGATAGGTAATTTGAGGCGGGCGGCGTGCTTGGATTGACTCGGGATTCCTTAAAACGGGCCGTTACGGGTATTTTAGTTCAAGATTCGTAAAACTTCGCGTTTTAATCTTCGATTAAGGCACAATAGCACTATCCTATTCCACTTTAAACTAGATTTCACAAAATAATTGAAAGTCAAAATAAAAACGACATTTCCCTCCAAAAGGTCTAGAGCGATATTTTTTTAATTTTAATTATTCGTGCGTGTTGCTATTTTATTCCTTGGAAATAAGCGGGAATATCACGGATATAATATATTATTATATTTCATTGTTATATTTAATAAATTAGTCCGTGGCCTCAGTAGGTAATATGGATTTTACAATGCAAAGCAAAATAACGTAGGAGTCCCTATATTGCCCAACAACGTAATGTACGACACAGTAATGCTCGACACGAGAATGTCCACCCGACATCACACTCACTGTGAACAAAGCCTATCAAAAATGATAATATCACGTGACCTGTGTGTCCAATTCCTGGGCCGGACATTTCTGTGTTGAGCATTCTTGTGTCGTACATTACGTTGTTGTATATTGACGGCTCCCAACCGTTAATACCATGCGACAATATAATTGGGCTCAATATTACAAGTTTACAACGGTTCTGTCAGTAAATGTGGATAAAATTAGGCGAAGGGTGCTACTATGAAATAGCTGACGTCGAATTTGGCGTTGATATAATTTTTGGAGGTAGATATTTATAGGTAGATATTATTTAGCCACCCATAAATTTTCAGTTTTAGGAAACCAAAGGCTTTTGTGAAAATCTCCTAGCTAGAGGAAGGGACAAAAATAAAAGAATAGCCTAGTCTAAGGGTAGTATTCCAGAACTCTAATCAATGCTCAAGTCAGGACTTGAGCAGACTTGAGTATGATTTCAAGCACTGGAAATACGACTCTAAACGTAAGGACTTGAGTATGATTTTCAGTGCTCATTGCAATACTCAAGTCCGGACTTGAGTATTGAGTAGAGTTCTGGAATACGGTCCAAGTTTCCATCCTCTAAGAGCCTAGGCCTTACACTATGGAAACTTCTTTTATTTTTTTCCATCCTTAGACTATGGAAACTAAAGGACATCATGTTATTATAGTGAAAGGCGAGCGAGAAGATGAAACTGCAGCTTGATTTTGATTGCCTCTTCCGATCGGAAACTGCGTCTTTTCGGAGTTGAGAGTAACCAACAGGATGGCCGGTCGCCTTTCGCGTCTGGCACTGAGTGTATATTCAAGAATTGCTACTATTTGCTACCTTTTCTAAGTTGCTATCTTTGATGTATTGTGAGAAATAAAAATAATAATTGACCAACTATACTGACGTTAGGATGGCTGGTCGCCACTTTCATGAAGGGAGCAGATTTCACGAAGAAGTTCCTGATTAATTTAAAAAAAGCAAAACTTTTTAGTGCTTTATTGCCATAATACAAAGAGCAGGCGTTGGTACTTCCTCATAAACTTTTCAATCGTTTATATTTTTTTTAACTAATGTGGATAGGAAGCGCATACCTTTCATTCGTAAAGGTAGCAATTATTGGTAATACATACTTCTGGAAAATCTGCTCCCTTCATGCTGAACAAAGTGGTACAAAAAACACATTGTACATCCTGACGTCCATACCTAATTGCGATTCACAACTGGCCGATCGGAAACTTTTCATATTTCTAATTGATTTAATTCACAAATTAGAAAGATTATAGTAGGAATCATTTTCATCTTCTCGCTCAGAAACCCATCTGATTTCGAGACTACCCGGTAGGGTCAATTCAGATTGGAATCAAAATCAGCACGCTGATTCCTACTGTAGCTTTCTAATTTGTGAGTTAAATCAACTATTGTTCCGATTTGAAATGTCAAGTTTCCAATCGGCCAGTTGTGAATCGCAATTATGCACCTCAACTCGGAAGAGACGCAGTTTCCGATCGGGAGAGGCGATCAAAATTAAGCTGCAGGTGGAGTTGCAGCCGAGAAGTACAAGATGAGTAGGTATATTTGTACCAGTGTTTCTCCCTGTTCTGTGGCCTACATAACATTGTTATTCTAATCATTTTAGGAAGCTACTTGCTAGTGCAGTTGGTATATAAGTAATTTTTAATCTAAAAACAAAAATTTATTCCACTATTTATTTTAGTATAAGTTTCACAGGCTTGATTTGCTAAAAATGTACTCATGGAGAAGGATTTTACTTCACCAGCTGATGTTTTAGTCTGTAAGTTATTTTTTGTTATACTTACAATAGAATGTGATTGATGATTCCTGCTTTTAGCTGAAATATTGAAATCGATTCAATTTTCTATTATAACCTTCAGCACACAAAGCAAGAATCTACAAAAGAAGAATCGAGACTACTTAAAAATTGAAGTTATAACTTAAGTTTAAATTAGAAATAAATTGCACACAAGTAATTACATAATTTATATATACATTATCAGAAACCAGCTATACAATTCTTGTCCACAATTAAATTGATTGTTTATTTATTCCTTCTTGTTCTCCTTAGCTTTGAGTTTTTCAAATTCTTGAAAGACTTTGTCACTTATTTTTTCGTCTTCACCAATTATTTGTTCCACTGCTACTACTTCCGGAATATAAAACTGCATCATATTTTGTACCTAAAATGTAAAAAAAGTCAATTTATGCCAAGTATCAGTATCCAGTTATTTTATAAAATATTAATTTAACAATAGTGATTAATTTAATAAGTCGTTTAAAAAATTATATTAAAAATGCGTGGCTCAACTACGGTGTAATGATGTGGGGAACAACACCGCATCTCCCTCAATTTTGACCTTACAGAAAAAAAATGCGCGAGGTTTCTCCAGAAGACGCGCGAGGGTTCTGCGGAAAACACGCGACTTGTTTTTTGGCTGATATCTAGTTTGTACATTGCACTATTAACATAAAGTTTATTACAGTACAATTTTGTAACAAAAATACGATTCCACACTGTTCAACTACAACATAAATTGAGCCTTACTGTCACATTTCACATTTTTTATTTGGATCATCGTTAAAGCCGGTGACGATATGTGGTTCAAGTATTATGACAACATAGCTTTAACTTGCTTACCCCATTCTTTAAAGTGACAATAGAACTAGGGCAGGAAGAGCATGAGCCTTGCATCTTCAGCTTTAGAATTCCATCCTTGAATTCAACAAATAGTACATCACCACCATCCTCCTGCACTGTGGGTCTTATGCGAGTATCAAGCAACTCTTTTATCATTTGAACAATTTCATCGTCATCTTCGTTTATTTCTGTAAAATCAAAATGGCACTTGAATTAAAATATTTCATTATGTGCTTGTACAGTCATATACATGAGATACCTGACCCCCTAACATGCCCAAACCTTTTGATCAAACAAAAAATTAAAGCAATTTGAACTTTATCGCATAAGCAATACAGTGGAGTATTATTTGAAGATGATCAAAACATTTTTAAACTAATACTAAATCTCATCATTTAACATTCAAGTAAATTGGTCGAGCGGCTTCTTGAATTGATCGATCTATTTTGTTATATTTTTAACAGCATTGTTTCACTTCTTGATGTTAACGTTGACAAGTGGGTAGGTATGTAGGGTGGTATGAATAGATTAACAAATCACGAAATCACTCTGCAGTTTGCATATGATCGTGTCATCTGTGATTATGCATTGTTCCAGGTTTTGTTCCCATTTATCTATTCAGTTTTAATACTTTCAAGGTTTTAGTGACTATCAAAGTATTCTTTCTTGTTTTTATATGCCGCACTTAACAGAATTATTAAAATTAGAAATTATTGTTCAGTAGGAACAACTTAGACATTCCTTACACCTATCCAGAGGTTAAAAAAGAAACAATATTATATAGTCATAGCTAAATAACATTTTATTTTAAAAGTGACTCGAACCATGCTTGTCTCAAATTGCAAAGCAATCCTTATACAGCTAGGCCACGACAGCCTTACTAAAGGTGGTTGAAATTTATATTCTGTATAATAGGCTTAAAAACTTTCTTACGATGTCATTCACTAATGAGACGACTAGAGATGAATCCCAAAATAAATTTTACAGCTCACAGATTAAAGATTAAGTTTTTTTAACAATTTTCTCCACATTTTTGTGCTCGAACCAAAATGTCGACAAAGTCGGCTAGGGGGGTCAGGTATCTTGTGTATATGACTACACTTACAAAAAATTAAGTAAACAACTGTTCAATTACCTATGTGGGTGTTTGTGTGCCTGTAATAATTCCAATGTTCTTTTTTTTATGACCTTGACGACTCAGTATTTAGCACACTGTGACATTAGACGAAGAGGCCCAGAGTTCAATTTCCGATAGACATTGTCCGACATCCCCTTCAGTATGCTAAGTGAAATATATACCAGATTTTGAGTAACATACTCACTATAATTGAGGAGCTTCAGAACAAAAACTGTTAAATTTTAATTTTAATTTGTCTTATTGAATCGATTTGTTGTATTGTGTTCAGATCCGTGCATTTAAGACATATTTTTAAAGAGGATTTAGCAGTTGCTATTCAGGTTTGGTTAAATACATAGAAATATTCAAAAACCCTTAAGCGTTAAAAAAATCAAACTGTGACTTAGCAGTTTTTGTTCCAATGCTCTTCAATTGATGTTAGGTTATCTAAAGTGCCTAGCAGTAATACAAATTCATATTCTTACGAGTATCTCCAGAAGGCTTAGCGTCAGTGACAATGGGCAGACCGCTGGCAAAGAAATCCATAATAGTAGCAAAGATCTCAGGTTTCAAGAACTTCCATTCTGTATCATCATCATTTTTTGTTACTGTAATGAATTCAGGGCCAAAAAATACCCCTTTGACACCTTCTATACGAAAAAGCATTTTTGCTGAAATGGAAATTAAACTCAACATAACATTGTCGACTTATTGCAAGAAGTCATTAATTGC